TGCTGGGGACGAGGACTTCGCATCGTCCAAAAAAGCAGAATTTCGACAAAAGGGAAGTAACTAACTTGAAACATTTTAAGAAGTGTCCAAAGTCCAAGATCGATATTTACATAAGAAAGTAAAGTAAATAATGACGGCCATTCATTTTGCATGCGTAAGAGATCTATGAACAGATATGTCAAAAACTTCCATTACGTATGTATGTTGCTGTCTGGGTGTGAATTTATTTTATAGTATTTGTTGTGAATATGTGGTTTAAGAAAGGGTTTTTATTATTTTATTCTATTGATTTCAGTGTATAATAGACGAAGTCTGGAAAAGGGTATCAAATTAATAGCACGGTGCCATTCTTTCTGGGCGATTTATCCCGTTTTTCGATAAGTTTTTTGTGTTGAAATATAGCCACTTTCCAATGCATTACAATTAATTCTTTTTACCACGTACTACGTAAGAAACAAGGAAGTAAAAAGTATATATTTGCAATAACCTGGTGGTACGAAAGGGTTAAAACATTTTAATTCTTGTAATTTTCGAAAATTGCAAGGATTTAATAAAAAAAAGCCCAGCGATATTTATAAAAGAACTCCATTCGAGTAAGAAATTTAAAAATATTTGGAATAATTTGTGTAAAGGTTTGAAAAATGTCCTAGGAAATTCATGAGAAAAATGATATCTAAATACTTCAGTATATTTCATCTGAAATATTTTTAATTCACAGGGTCTCGGATGCGACCAGACATTTGTACCTAGAGGCTGGCCATTTCCTTTAATTTACGAAGTTTATCTGTTCGTCAGACCGTGTTTTGAAAAGAAAGGTTCCAATGCGCTACTACCGCCAGGAATATTCCGAATTTTGTAACAGCAGCAGCAAGTTTTATAGCGCTTACTTTCTTCCTAGTTTTCCCTTTATACTCTAATAAAAATCGAGGCTTTGTCGGCCTGTCACCATCTTTAAAAACGACTGCCGAGGTTGGCGTTCTTTCTTCCTTACTCCACGTCACCCACTCCCTTCGACATGAGTCACCATGCACGACGAACAGCTGGGAAGGCGTTCAGCATACAGGGAAGGCCAGCGGGCAAGAAAAGAGATTGATGAAAAAATGATGGTGACTTGTGAAACAGAACGCAAAGTGGGGAAAAAATACGTCCTCTTTACTTCGCCCCCTCACATCACCGACGGAATATCTGCATTGGACGAAAATACATCCCCAATCTTGAAGTCACAAAACACAAATTCGTGAATGAAAAGACAAAGCAATGGTAGGTTTACTAGTTTAATAAAGAGAGGTAGGAATCACCTGGAAGGACTTTGTTTATTTTTCGTACAATTATTTTCTATAATCTAAAAGCCTGGGAATTGTAGGATGAGTTTCCACAGAATATTACGCCATATCTCAGGAGGAAATGAACATTCGAAATATTTTGTTCTTGGCAATATATTTGGCACGATTTTGAAGAATTCAAAAGAAAAGTGTTCCTTTACAGTTTAGCCAGGAAAATCAAAATATTACAATACCTTATTCTCTCTTGTCGCTAATATAGAATTTTCATAAATATTTTAGAGAACTTAACAACCGAAAACCTCATATCTGTGCTTTGCACCGAGACATTTCTGAAAACGTGTATGCAGCGCAACAAAGTTGCACGAAGTCATTTAAAGACAGAAACCGATTCATTCGGTTACGGTTCTAGCAAAACGTGTGGCCTGCAGTAGCAAAAATTCTGGCGAATAAAACCGTAAAAAATATTTCTCAAAAAAGTTTCACTCAAGAACAAATAAAATACTGTTGTAGAAAAGGACAACAGAATAACACAATCAAATCTTTGCCTTTTTTCAGTCAAAATAGAAGTTGTTTGATGTGTTAAACGGTTTCGGGTTGATGCCTTCATTCTTTTGATATACTGATTGTTTTGTATTGCAAAAGATAAAGCATAACAGTTGTTCGTTTCTGATTGAACCTTCTTGTAGCGTTCCCGTCTTTGGAGGGCTTGGTCCAGAGCTTCCTTTGAACACGCCAATTTCGATTCCGTCAGCTGACGAAACATCAGGACAACAGACGTGGATCCAGGGTTGAGAAAAAAATTAAACCGATCCAGTGGGATTTTTGGGTTTATTATTTTAGGGAGGAGTTATTAGGAAAGATATTTTTAATTTCAGTTCACAGAAAATTCTGATTTACGTAATTCGAAAATTGATATTGAAGCGCATTCAGAAAATATATTGCTTAATCCAACGATGGACTTGCACTTTAATTATACAATTAGAGTGTATTCGCAAATCCTCACTGGCAACAACTCACGGCACAAAGTCGTTAAGTAATCCGTGAGCGATTCTAGGTTACACTGATAATAGATGTGAAATGTTTCGCCTTTTCCTTGGCACCGTATGCTAAAACAGAACTCCGCACTGCACAAATAGACAACTACCAGTCAAGATTTCTTACGAATTTATTCTGCACGCAGTTTTTATTGAAAAGAATGCCTTTTTCCTAGAAAGATGTGTAACGTTTAAAAATGATTAAGTCGTTCGAGGTTTTCCTTATTTCCTAGAAGGAGAAATCGTAATTCCGAAATTGCTGCCTGGCTATAAATATATCAGAACAGGGAAAAGAGAACAGGAGATAGTGTAGGTTAAGAAAAGGGAATGAACAAAATTTGAGGATGCAGAATTAGGACCTACATAAGCAAGAACAAAACTCATAAATCTCAAGAAATCTGTTTTTAAAACAAAAGTCCCGAAATTTGTCCTCGATGAAGAGTACAATCGAATAACCTCTTTATCCCCCTTAAACTTTCAAATCCCCTCCCATTTACATGCTCTCATTTGAAGAATTATTTCGGGAGGGGGCTTCCGGAGCAGTAGATGAGCTGTGCGCATGCGCGTTCGTTGAAACTTCACAAATAGAAAAAGGAAGTTAGCAAATTGAGCGAATACTGCACACGCGCGACTTGTGGTCGACGAGTGCTTATTGGATCCACTGTTGGGAGATGTGCTATGTTACACCACTATCCTTGCAAGTTTCTGTTTTCATCTCCCTAACAAACGCGGTTGGGAAAGAAACCAGCTAAAGAGATTTTTGCCCAGTAAGTGCCGAGCATTAATTTGGTAGAAATGGGAATGCAGACTTTGCGGATATTGCTCTGGTTTTCCCGTTCCCTCATTTTAACAATTCTTCACCGCCGTATACTCCCTTGGTCATCTCACCCTCCGTAGTATACACCCAAAACCCCAGGTCCGGGAAAACCGAAAAGACATAAGTAAACACATACTCGTACACGACTTGAATACATGTTGCAGCTCGGTTTCCCGTAAAACAAATCAGTTTGTTCCCATGGGGCCCAATTATTTTGTCACTAAAGGAATTTTAAATATTTTGTTCGATAAACAAAACTTATTTATCAACTCTTAAAAAGGAATCACGAGGCTTGGCCTTCTTGCAACTGCATGTAGTTGGCTTGAATTTTGGATATTGTATTGAAATAGTGGTGCACTTTAAAATTAATATTTCTTCCTGATTTCTTATGAAATATCGAAGCCTGAAGTGAGAAGCTTAAAAGAAACGTTCCTGTGTATTGGAGTCTCTTAGGAACAGCTTTAAATATAAGACAAGGGAGGAAATACAATTTCAGAAAATTGGAAAGGTTCGAGATAATGTGCTTGAGCGCTAAACTAGCCCTCCGCTCCATTGCAGGATTCATAGTCACCATCGAGAGCGGAACTTTCGATTCATACAGTACAGCAGAAAAGCGCCACGTTTGGCGCCACTGTCGCCAGAAACCGTACTTCATTCTTACCTCGGACGCGCCATAGAAACAGATACGTAAATAGTAATTTGAAATTAACGTCGAGTGTGAGAGGAATGATGTTAAATCAAAACGAAGACTTGCGCTGGGAGAATGCTCTCTCCAGAATGCCCAAGTGGCCTTCGCTTCTACGAGATGGAGGCTAGTCGTTTGGTCAATTACGGCCCAATGCACGCTCCTGCCAGTTTCCCTCGTTGCGCGCAAACAGCGTCAGTCGCCACAACCCGGCGAGTAAAATTGTCGCGATCGAAATCCGTCGGCCCCTGATTTTCTCCGGGTTCTGTGTTCGATTGTCCGTAACCTGAAGGAGTGTGCGCGTAATCCTATCCTGAGAACAGGCAGATAACGCGGCGCCCCGACAAAGGCGTCCCACGTCCCAAGAAAGGGAGCAACGGATGGCGGCGAGGGAGGGGGAGTCAGTCACGCTGAGCAGAGAACACAAGATGCTGTAAAACACGAACACTGATGGGCAAACACGAGACTCGTGAGTGGTGAAATACGAGACACGCAAACAGGGACGGCTAAAAATGTTCACGGATGTCCTATAACAGCATATATTTTCTCGCATTATTATTGGCTACATAATACGAGATGTGCAATTCTTTCGTGCGTCCTATACGCTATGCGAGGGTAGTTACTTCCAAACATTTGAGCATCTTTTGAGAAAAGTTCGAAAATGTGGACGCTTCTTGTAAAGTAAGCCCAAAAATTAAAATGTTTCAAACTCGCAGAACCTCGAGTTCGTACCGATAGATCGGAGTATATCAATTTTGAAGAAAATCGTCTTACATTTTGGCGCTAGAGCTGACCATCGACAAGATGGACAGTCGTGTTGTTGTCAATCGATTTTTCCGTATAGATGATCCACAAAACATCGATTCTGACTACACAACTTGTTAAGGGGAAGTTATTTACTACATAAAGGAATAACATTTATCCACCGTTTCGGTTACCAGGATCCGACAATAAGTTTTTCAACAGAAAAAATTCTCATTTCCGCCGCATGGTTACAATTTTTCATTGCTACTTACATAGTAAAGAGAGAAAGTAGAAATCTGGGATGTGTAATCACAACTCGCAGAGGGAAGAAGCATGGTGGAAAGACAATGAGGCAGAAAGCACATCTCTACTGCACCACTGTGGTAGTTTACCACATTGCAGAAGTGCACGAGAGCATTTCATTACGATTGCAATACCTGAGCCGCAGCGACCGCCGCCTGCCTTCCATCACTCGGACCTGATTTCAAAGGCCGGGAGTTGCATATGGAATTTGCAGTAAACTCAGGAGGCTCGCGTCTGTTGTTGTTGTTGTTTTTGTTGTGGTCCTCCTTTTCCCTGCCTCTTATTTCACCACAGCTCCATTATCATTCACATTGAATCTTTATAATCACATACCCATCAACTTGTTATACATCCCAGCAGAGCCTTGCTGCTTAGACACGCATCGTAATAAACAAAGAGACTGAGCCCATCTGGCTGCACGAAAGGGGTGAGAGGCTGGACAAATGACAAGAGTCGCCGATACGCTATGAATTATGAGCAAGCATTTGTGGAGAGGCAGGGCCAACTGCAGGTCGTCAAGGAAATCTGCCGCGAACCGGCATTGTACGGCGCAAATTCCACAGGCCACGGCCGGGATTTGAACAGTGTTACCAACAATTATAACGTTAGATGGCCACCGCAAGATTCTCCCTAATAAATAGGTGCTGGGGCAGCAGACCTAATTCCCTCCGCTTAATTTACGTGTTTTGAGGTACCGGAGGTGGACGCCACGGCTGGGCCACATTCTCATGTACCTTCAAGTCTTCCGCTCCTCCGACTGGCATTAGAATGCGACCTCCAAACGGTCATTAACTCCTAGACCTTTCGCCCTAGAAACTTAGATTGGGCGCTTTCCCAGCTAGAAGCTACCAACTCCGCGGACAGTTGAGTAAAACGATACTCGTGTACTTATTCAGAGACCCTTCAAGCTCCCTCGAGTGGGTGTTGTGGGGAAGGGAGGGTCATTTTCATTAACGTTTATTTTTTATAAACAATATCTTAAATGTTCCTCGATTGACACGGAAGAAACATTTCTCTGTTACACCGCTAGAAAAATCCTGCTCTGAAAATACAAACACGGTTACAATCGATGCAATCGTCAGTAATGCAATCGTTTCTATAGGGACACGGACATTGGAGAATTTGGTATCCAAACCACATTATGGATTCTCCAGTATCAATACCGATTCAGTAATACTCAAAACTAGAAAAGCGATACTTCAAATTTCGGCAGTGACGCAACTTCTCGGGGTGGGGCACGATACTTTTCTGAACTTCTGGTGCTACAATTTCTTGTATTGTTAGTAGCGGTTACGTAATATTATAAAATTGAACTCATAAAAGTGTTTCTAACCCCCGAAAATATTTGCCGGGTCTGAAATTCGCACTTTGGCACATCGGCTCCGCGTTAAGTCATTTTATATGTTACACCACCAAGCGTCTTCCTAAGCTCGTGACTATTACAAAGAAAACTGTAACTTTTGCAAATTTCGAATTGCAGATGTTTTAAAGAAAACCGCACCAAAGCATATTATTACGTGCACGTCTTTATTTCAGGAAAAAATGAAGAAAATGTATAGAGAGTTTTGAGAAACATTTATGTGTTTTTCTTGTAACAAATTCATTTAAAAACTGGTGTAATCGAAAAAGCGTACATAATACACCATATAATTCTATGTTCAATTACATAAAGATTTTTTTTTTTTTTGAAAAATTGTCGAGAAAATTAAATGTAAATGTTACTTCCGAGCGCAAAATTCAAATCGTTGCCCATCACAGCAGGCAGCGGCACCGCGTCTGCCGACGGGACGGGGGCTGCGTCGTTTCTCCGCGCTTTCGGTGAAACTGACTGTCGAGTGATGAAAACATCGCTCGCCGTACACTCTAATGCCTAAATAGTATCAAGCGGTTTATGCGTACTATTCATTTAAGCAAATAAATCTACTTGAAATGCACTTTTGTTACAAATTATGACCACGCCATGAAGCGGAAATTAAGAAAATTAAACTAAATGTAACTTCAATATGCGCACATTTTGTTGAACTCTCCTTTTGCTTGTAATGGTAAAAGTAGAGGTAAGGGCGAGTTGCTATTTTGTTAGCAATGCAGAAAAATCATACTTGCAATTCGTGTACCAATGCAAATACGTTTTCTAGAACTCAGAAACGAAAATGACTATTTTTCGAATATTGCTAATCTTGCAATTTTTTAAATTTATTTTTATTTACGTTAATCTTTTACTCATATTTCAACTATTTATAGTTAAAACGACGGGAAGGGATTCTGGAACCCAAGACAACGTGCGCAGATAATCTCCTACCCCCCTACGTCACATACAGTTTTTACTTCTTTTTTTTTCGAATAAATCTATTTCTAAAACTTCCAGGATGCTCGAATTATTTTTTGAATATCGTCCTTGTGAACTAATGTCTTGTGTTTAAGATAGCCACCTACGATAAATTATAGTCTCCTGCAGTTCCTAACAATAATATCATGACACATGCCAGAGGTGTTTTGCAGCTAAATTGTTCGTTCATTAAAACTATTGAGTTAATTGAATACTTCTGGGCGATTAATGGAAGTTCCGCTTGTATTTACATACATGTAAGTAATACATGTAGTACGCGTTCGTGCATACATGTGTTACGCATAGAAGTAAAGAAAACTTCTTTTTCGCTGTTAATGAGACTCAAAACATTTTTTCTTTGATGAAAAATCAGCAATTTGTGCATAAATTACTCTCACTTCGTACTAGATACGACAAATTAACTATCCGCGCGCACAGGTATAACTTGCGAGCCCGTTATTCTTTATTCGCACGTCAGGTAAAGAGAAGTAAAGAAGGTTACGTGACTACAGTGCACTACAGTACACAGTAATGGTGTAACGAGCTGCCTTAACCGGAATTTCCTTTCTGAGAACGATTGACCAGAGTAAGTTTCAAATAAGAAAGACACCACAAAACAACCTTGTCACCCTCTTCGGTTCCTAATGGTAGCGTTAAAAAAACCTATTTTCAGGGACAATGTACAAAGAATTATTCAATAACATACGTAACTGACGAAAGACAGCCGACTGATGAAATAACATTAAACGGAATTATAGTATTTATTGGCGTGTTTGTTTTTTGTTGTTGTTTTTTCCCACATCTTTTTTATTTTTTCGAAGGTTCCTGACATCGAAGAACTGAATAAATCTTTCTCCTACGTTCAGTAAATAACTTTATCTAATACATTAGTAGATAGAACCCACGTTTTGTGGGTTCTTGATACCGCAAAATTGCTTCGAAACATATGTCCGTCCGTGAAAAACGCTAGCGACTAAACCGTACATAGGAAATCCACCAAAATTGATATTCCCCGGCAGATTTGGCCGATAGCAGTCCCTTGAATTTCCAACGAGAATTTTGAGTTGGAGGTACTTTACTTGAAGCCTTAACGACGTTCTCACGCAAGCCCGATTTTCATTAAATTCTCTTACTTTTCAAAACTTGTTTAGGGTCTTTTCAAAACAATATTAAAGATATGCAATGTAGACACCGAAGGTAAGTAATACTGGTCGCGAAAAAATATATACAAGGAAGCTCTGTCCCATTTGTTTTGTAAGAGAAAGAAATTTGGACTAGTCATACAATTTTCACCAAAATTCAAGATGGTCTGCGGCACTTTGTCAAAACTGCCTTGGAATGCCCTTTTTTATATCACCCGAACAACTTTTCCCTACACATGTTCAAAAAATGTACTTTAACTCAAAAACTGTACGAGATCTCAATAGGAGGTACTGACATTTCTTAGAGAATACTTTTTTACCTTTTATTTAAAATAAAAAAGGGATTGAACCAGGGTTTACACATGTAATGTCAATTATGTTATCACCCGCCATTTTCAATTGCGTCACAAGGTTAACCTGACCATAACATTTGGTGGTACCCTGCACTTTTACTTCAACCAAGGTATAATGAAGAATTAAAAAAACCGCATCCGAAAGGTTTTGCATACTACTGCGTCAGTACGGCCTCTTTTCATTTTACAGTCTAACATTTCTAGTGTTTTCGAACGGTTTTCGGGAAGTGACAGGTACCGTCATGTCGACAAATCTAGTGGAAAGCACTGTGTTGTCGGATTTAGGAAAGCAAACTTTCCCGAAATCGCTTATTCCGGGGACTCTGCGCCACAAAAATTAAGCGAGAATTTAAAAATAGTTGGGTGTGTGTAAATAATGTGAGAACCAAAATTGCGTAAAATAACTCTGAATTTGGCTGACAAGACATTGCTCTAGCAAGATACCAGCTGGAATAAGAGGGAGAGGAGACGAAAGAACCCCCTAAATCCTGCTACAAACCCCATTCTGTCCATGTTTAATATGCATTTGAACCTTGAACCTAAGACAAAAATTGGCTGCCAGACTTGCTATTTGAGAATGCAAAAGGAAGCATTTCAAATCACAATTACGATGCGGATCCTACCGTGGGAATCTCTTCTCATGCTTATTGTGTTTCGGTAATACGACCGCAATGGATCTATTGTAACTAGGAACGCGTGTATTGTGTGTCAGGAAGTGACGTCAGCTCTTTAACAGTTTCACTGGTTTACAATTTCTCTTTCACGATCCGTTTGTAGCAGCCCCCCCCCCCCGCCAATGCGCTCCTCAGCCCTAATAGTTTCTATAAAAACATCGATAGATCAGGGACATTTTGCCCAGCGTAGCGTAGACAACAATCTCTCAACCACTCAGTACTAGATTTTAGCATCTGGCCCAGTACAACTCTTAACTGCACATGCACAGAGACTCGATATTGCTCTAGTCATTTGCTGTAAAAAAAATTCACTACAAAAGCCGATGGTATTTTAACGCTTTGAGTTCGATGTTTTGTTTGCGAATGGAAAAGTTCCATTATAACAATTTTGTGAAAGTTAAAATATGAAATAGATGATGCAATTATCAGTTCATGTTCGAAGGTAATGCTCTTTACACCATCACTCTCATGACAGATGACCCCGACGTCCTGGTATTTCGCACTTCGAAAGACTGTGGACGCATGTGCAATAGGCACAGCAACTCCCTCATCCACAGCAACCGACGATACTCTGGCTCCTTTAGATGGCCCTGAGCGCTCGGGATTTCAGACTCGGTTTTTAACAAAGATATTTTTTTGTCAGTTAAATTTTAGTTATATTAAACACGGCC